GGTGCCCCCCTTTATTCCTTCTTTTCCTTTACTAAAGGCAAAAGAAAACAGCAACCCATATTTAAAAGGTAGACATTGTTATCCTTTATCGCAGTTTCCCTCTCTTCCAGAGATTAGAGTTTACTGTAGTACAGCAGCCCAATAGGATTGTCCTGGAAATGGATTTTCATGTAAAGTATTATGTGTCGCAAAAGGAAGGATCAAAATATTATAAAGAGAGAGAAGCTACGTTATTATTTTTAATAGGATTGGTATTATAAATGGTCCTTAAAGAGCATACATCTGTTCCACTCAATGCTTTCTTTCTGAGTTTACCATGAAGTATGTTTTACTGATAAGACAGCATTTTGATCCATTATTCTCTAAAAGCCTTGTTAAGAGATTTGACGTACAAGATACTGCTCATGGTCTGTGGTACTTCTTTGAAAGTAAGAGTTTCCTTTCTGAAATTGAAGGAAACAAAATATATATATTCCACGGGTAAATGTTTTTAGTGCCCTTTCCCTCCATTTGGATTATTAAATACTAAGCTTTAAATAAAGACATTTTATGTAAGTTTATATTTAGACAATATAGCTGCTTGTTTTCTGTTGGGAAAAGAACAAATTTAAAACTTCTCTAATAAAACGTTATGGAAAAATTAAAACGCATAAGTGACAAAATCATTGCAACCCTCAGAAAATGGCACTGCTACTTTTCTAAGAGACTAGAGAGAAGTTTGAGTGGAACCAAGTTTGTTATTGAGTACGGGTCTCTCCCTGACTTGAACACTTATTTTTCCAAGGAGGGGTTGGATATCATTTTAATTCTAGACTATGATTGAATACTTGGTTTCAAATGGGAATTCCCTGCCCCAGAATGAATCTGAATGTGCTCATCAGTAAAATAGGGATGAGGGATACAGGTCTCATCTGTGCACATCAAAGCCTCAAGAGAATATCAACAGGCTAGAGCAGGGTATGTGGCCCTAATCTTGCCTCTGGCTTCCTTTTTCCTGCCTGCTAGTGAACCTGAGAGATCAGGATGTCCTACAGCCCAGTTGGTGATGGCTCTCCTTCAAGGATGTGCTCCTGAAATAGCTGGGTGAAGCAATCCCAGGGACCACAGTGAGAAATGTAGGGACTCCTATCTCCTAACTCGTATTGAGTGGAGCCCTCCTTGGACTCCATACCTAAATTTTGGAGAAATTTAACATTTTTGAAGTTTGAAGTCCTGTCCATAAATATCATCTGAGCGTTCTGAAATAGGACCCAGTGGACCATGAAGTATATTTTAAAACTGCATGCACAGAGTTGAGGCTGTTTGACTTGTGGATGTTCATTTTGAGGGCTGTTTATTATAACTGTCTCCCAAGTAATGTTCACAGCCCGCCTCTCAGTGAATTCTGCTGACCCACTCCCTCTTACCAATACACAGGGCCTTAGAGAAACGAATTCTGCAGTATTAACATTCAGAGATTTTCTGTGGTTTTTATGTATATCAGTAATAGAAATCAGCAACAGAAATTTAAAGATGGATGGTTCTAAATTTTGAATGTACGTTGGAGTAAGAAAATAAGTGATATTTACTGTAGAGATATTTAAAAAGAAAAAAAAGAAAGAAAGCATTTTGAGGCTAGATTTCGTTGTACTTTGGTTGATTTTATATATTTAAAACCTGTTTATAAAACGTATTTCTAACTATTTTCTCTCTATTCATGTTTGTTTTCTCTCTCTAATCAGTTTTAGTATTTTTCGGTGTAAGGCAGGTTTCCAAGAGTGCATTACCTACTCACAGCATTATAACTATAGGAGATAAGAGTTTAATGTACAGTGCTTTGAACTGTGACTGTTGCCCATGAGGGATTTACTCATAAAAATGAGATCACAATAAAAAGGTAATGGGACCAACAAGAAAATGGAACTCCTCATGTCTAAAAGGGAGCACAGGTCAACCATAATTAAGTTCTAGAAAGTTACAAGTACATATAAATATAATAAAGGATGGTAGAGATGGTTGATATAAAGAGATCATCATTATGGGTTAAGGATACAGTTTTCATGGATCATGTTGGCTCCCATTAAAAAATGGTTCAATAACTATTGCTCAGTTCTGATCTCATTTTGACTTCTCCCATCATTTTCTATTCAGCCAATTCTCTGTAGCCATTGAGAAGGAGCTCAGAAGAAGAAAATTCTGCTGTATTATGGTTGGAAAGGTGCCTGGTAAATAATGAGAATTTTGGTACAACGGGCTCAGATTTTCTCAAAAATGTTGCAAAATCTCGACTGGATAATGTATTTTCTTATGTCACTTAATTGCAAAGAGTCATTGCCAAGTTCAGGTGCTTCCTATACAATCCTACTATGGCAAAGGAAGCAGCTTCTCTCCATTTTGTGCTCTGGACTATCTCCTAATCCCAAACTTCAAAAAATATATACTCTGCTATTAATAGAAATATACAATTCAAGATCACATTTGTTCCCATGAAATTTCTCCACGATTTTTAACTGCTGAGATATGAAGGTAATCTTTTTTTGTTTTCCATCCTCCTTTTTCCAAAGCTGTGTTTTTGTAATCCTAATATCTAATAAAAAATACGTATTTTTTGACTCTATCTCATTGACATCTGAATTATATGTAACCTAGAGCTATATAATGGAGCCAGACTTCTTTTGAGCTTACAGTTTTGGGAGCTGATCCTAGTAATAATTATTTCCTTACTTTTCACTGCATTTTTGTAGAAGTAACTTAATGGAAACTTTTAATAAGAAAAACAAAAGGAAGTATTTTTTAATTCACAAATTCCAAATTCCTAACTTGGGGAGTTGAGAAATAACCTAGATCTGCCATCTCATTTGACACTTGAAAAGTAGGTCTAATGTTTTTGGAAGAAAAATCTTTGTGTGTATACATCATATGCATTCTCACAACTCTAAGTTCATTTGGAATTTGATGAATTAAAAGATACTACCTGTTGTTTTTCTTATTGAGTTTCCATTAAAATATTTCTACAAAAAAAATGCAGTGAAAAGTAAGGAAATAACTCTTACTAGAATCAGCTATGTCTAGCTCGATTACCTATGTCTAGATCCCAAAAATGTCAGCTAAAAAAATTAAATATATATGTATATATGTGTATATATGTATATACACACACATAAATGTGTACACACACACACATACAATATGCTTGCTGAAGACATTGCTATACAGTTTTAATATGTCAATCTTCTGACTTTATTTGCTCATTTCAAGTAGAATATAATTTAGATGCAATTCTACATTAATTGTGTTTTATTCTTAAACAACCTGTTATAAAGAACACATTGAATGCAGTCTTAAAATGAGATAATATGCACTCTGAGATCCTACAGAGAAAGAAAAGAAAACCCCTTTGTGGAGTTACTGGATAGTAACGCTATTTTGAGACAATATTGCTAACATGTTTTTGTTTTGTTTTGTTTTGTTTGACTGGGAAAAAAACTTTACTTTGTCTGGGACAGTGGGCAGGGGTCCAGACTCAGAACTCCTGGAACTCCTTCTCGGTGCCAGCAGCTTTGGTCACCTGGAGCACAGTGAAGCACACCGTCTTGCTTAGGGGAGGGCACTCGCCCACTGTGACAGTGTCACCGATCTGGACGTCCCTGAAGCAGGGGGAAAGATGCACGGATACGTTTCTGTGGCGCTTCTCGGAGCGGTTGTACTTTCGGATGCAGTGGAGGTAGTCTTAGAGGATGACAAGGGTTCTCTGCATCTTTACCTTGGTCATCACGCCAGACAGGATCCGCCCTTGGATGACAACATTACCAGTAAAAGGGCATTTCTTGTCATTGTAGGTGCCCTCGATGGCTTCCTTCGGTGTCTTGAAACCCAGACCAATGTTCCCGTTGTTATGCGGGAGCTTCTCCTTGCCAGTCTCTCCAAGCAGAACCCTCTTCTTATTTTGAAAGATGGTCGATTGCTTTTGGTAGGCACTCTCCACCTGAATGTCTGCCATCTTCCCCGCCGCCTGAAAAAAGGTTAATGTTTTAATATTTAAGAAAGGAAAAGATTCAGAAGACTTAAAAATCTCATGAAATCTTTGCTATAGCTTATAGATACGTGTTCTGATGGTAATTTCATAAGTTATTTTCAAATAATTTGTTCTAAGGTAACTTATTACATTAAAAAAAGAACCCCATAAAAGATGTGTTTTATCTTGTACTTCACTCAGAATCACTTCTTTTCCTTGTTTCATTTAAATTCTCAGCTTTATATTGTCACAATGCTTGATTTTGTTTTACTTCTTGAAGTGCTTCGTGATCATATAACTGGGACTAAGTAGGAACTAAATGTACCTAAACTTAATGGTTGCTGCTCACCAACTACATAATTATTGTCAGGGTGGCTAAAAATGCAGAAAGTCTGTCAAATATAAAAGAAGCACACACAGGGAGCAGTGGTGGGGAAGATGGAAATCACAGCTGGAGGTAATGATTACTCTAAATGTCTTGCTACAGCAAACATAGCATTTGGAAATTCATGAACATTTCTTTTAAATGTGCAAAAGTCTTTGCAAAACAAACCATACATTAACTAAAACACTCATGACTGCACTGCCTACACACTAGGCCACCTGTAATTTTGGGGAAAGTTCCTTCTATGCAACATCAAAAGAAACAACCATAGATCTTTTATTTCAGAATTGGCTTTGGTGACAAATAAGTTGGAAGTAAAAATACAGATAGTTCCACTTGTCTGACACCCAATATTCAGTGCTATGCCACATATCTCTCCTAAAAAAATAGTTTATTTTTATGTGCAATATGTATCCAATAATCATTTTTAAAATGTGGCCATCCTTTGCTAAATAATGCATAGTACATGAGTCTTTCTGCAATCTCTCATAAAAAATTAATCACCCCAGACCTATTCTTTAAAAATCCATTTGGGTTAGTAAACCCCTCTTTTGGGGAGAGGATTTGGCTTTTTTAGTAAAAAGGGAGGTTGACTCATATCCATTCCAGTTCATATGTTCCTCTGCTCTTCTAGTGCCACCATGAGCTACTGTTCACTTTGGTGCTGGCCACCCCACAGCTTCCTGGGACACAGAAGACAACCCCAGGACTGCAGTAACTGAGGGCTGAAGATGGAAGAATCACAATTGCCTTTATTCCTCTGACTCCTGGTAAGTGGTCAATAAATATTTTATGAATGAGTGAATGAAAAAAAAAAGAGAGAAACAGAGAAAGAAAAAAAGAAAGAAAGGAAGGAAGGAAGGAAGAAAAAAAATACCCTTTATTTTTCAAAATACACCCATGCAGTGCTACTGGGTTTCACTGAAGAAGTGGTATGAATGTTTGGCCTTTTCTTTCTTCACTTCTGCACTCCATTCTAAGTATAGTCAGAAGGCCTTTCCTGCCTGAGAAATGAGAGTCCGCTGTAAAGCCCTCTACCCCATTGTAGTCACTGTAGTTCACAGTCTTGGAACATGCTGCTTTTGTCCTATAGTGAAGGTTACATTTTGCAGGAGGGCTATGGGTAATGATGGTGCTGAGATGGCTCTTCTCCTTACTCTATTAACCATTGTTTTCTCAAGGTAACAGTTTTGCAGCAATAAATTTCAATGTAATCTTCATTTTTAGCTGTTTGCAATTCTGTTGATGGTGTAGGAAATGAGAGTGGGGAAGAGGTCAAGGGAATATCAGTTCTACTGAAGGTCTCTATTCTAGATCAAGACGCTGTTGTCCCCGGAAAGTATAGATGTCATCATTCTCTTTTCAAGAGGAGTAAATGAAATTACAAAAAGTAACTTGTATCAACAAGGACCTACTGTGTAGCATGGGGAACTCTATTCAATACTCTGTAATAACCTATATGGGAAAAGAATCTGAAAAAGAATGGATATATGTATATGTATAGCTAACTGAACCAGCTTGCTGTACAACTGAAACACAACATAGTCATCTATACTCCAATATAAAATAATGTAAAAAAAAAAGAAAACTAAAAAACAGTAACTTGCAAGGTCTTCAGGTTGATGACTTACAGGGTAAGGACTGGAACCTAGGAGTGTCTAACTAGTGTTATTTCTATAATAGAGCACTTCTCCAAATCTTGAGAGAGTGAGGGAAGTAGGAGTCATTTGGAGCATAAAAGTAGTTACTGCATAGGGCTGTGTGGAAAGCATGGGGAATTTTGGCTAGCAACTTTCAAGGAATTGACATCTTAGGGACATGGAAGCGTGGCATGGCTTTAGCCAGAGAAGATCTTGCAAACTGAGCAGTTTATGACGATTATTGTGAGGTCAGGTGATTTTCCACTGAAACCAAGTGCAGAAGTCTCTTGAGTGTTGTGGCTTCCTGGTGTCATTTTAAAATAAAACCCATTTCATGGAATTGTAAAGATCAGTTAAAACGTATTTGAGAGAAGAAATCTGAAAACAACAAGGAACCATTGAAACACTGTTGTTATTTTTTCACTAGTCTGGAAGGCTAGAAATCAATACCTACTGAGGTTTAGCCTCTTTTCAGAATATATATCAGGATTTGGAAATTATTTGAGGTCAGTGTTTCCCAAAGACTGTTCTAAGGAGGTTATTTCCACGTGATGCAAGTACATGTTGTGGTTAAACATGTTTGGGAAACACAGTTAAACACAGCTTACGGAGAGCCTTCAGTTTGTTCATGTACACTCTCCAAGGGTGGGAGCCCCGTTTACCAGAATTCTTTGAACTTGGGCCCTTTATACTTAAAGAATCACTAAAGAGATAAATGCCTTCCAGAATCAACAGAACTTCATGTCCCATATTCAAAACATTAAAATCTGAACTAACAAAGAGATTATTGGTTCCTAGAAACGCCCTGTTACCTCTTTACTGATAACAAAACTTACTGATTAATATTTTACTGTGTAAATACTGTGGCCTCTTTCATCTGTATCTTAGCAGAACCCTTTCTAAATAGCCTTTTGTAATTTGTTGATTTATGATTACATAGTCCAACCTCACCTTTGCTGCTGAGAGCTGAGGGTCCTCCTCTCTGCTGACCATGGGGCAGGGATCTGACGGGGTTCATATGCATAAGGAATCCTGGTTTTGATGTGATGAGGAACTGGAGTGTGGAGTCTCCAACGTTTGGGTGAAAAACGGTCCCCTTTGTCCTCTGTAACACAGGTCTTATAAGTGACAACATCTTTTTTAAAAAATCTGACAGTGCAGTAGGTTTTTCTACACCAAACAGGACTAGTATCCACAGACCTATATTTTTTTTTTTTTAATTTTTTTTTTTTTTTTTTGCGGTACGCGGGCCTCTCACTGCTGTGGCCTCTCCCGTTGCGGAGCACAGGCTCCGGACGTGCAGGCTCAGCGGCCGCGGCTCACGGGCCCAGCCGCTCCGCGGCACGTGGGATCCTCCCGGACCAGGGCACGAACCCGTGTCCCCTGCATCGGCAGGCGGACTCCCAACCACTGTGCCACCAGGGAAGCCCACAGACCTATCTTGAGAAATGCCATTTTATTCCAATGATACATCTTTTCAAATGAGAAAAATCAGTGCCAGAATAGGTAAGCTCTTTGCTCAAAGAAGACAGAAGCTGGCATCTCTGTGGGGGAGTAGTTATCAGTTTGGAAGGATCATAAGAAGTTTCCTCAGTTTGCTTGTTCTTTTCCAAAAGAAAATTGATATCCTCATTACTTAAAAGAGAAAGTGAGCCTAGAGCTTAAAGGATGAAATCATTATCTTTGACAGGCTGAAAATATCCAAACCGAAATTTGCCCAAATACAAATTTCTGCGCTGGAAAAGTAAAATAAAAACTGTCTCTAGCAGATTCTGGGAAGAATTTTTTTATATAGCTCCCCAAAATTTCTACCACCGTATAGTACCAGGCAATAAAGATGAGAGTGTGTATAGCACAGACTCACGAAGGAATGTGAAGTGAGCACAGCCATGGCTTCTGATGCCTGTGTTTGTGGGTCAGTAATACTTACAGGTCCCCATAGACCTGCAAGGGAAACCCCCATTTATTTATTTAAATTAGTTTTACAATACTGTGTGGGGAAGCCTCCATTTTGAACACTATTGTTCATTCAGAAAAACTGATTATCTTGTTGAAACATATGAATTTTTTTTGCATTCTACTAGTCTCTTTTTTGTTTTCTTGCACAGAAAAATGATGATGAAGTACCATGCAAACTCCAGAGTTCTTTGATAATTCACAATCGAAGGTTTCTTTCTTTTAGGAAATGGAACAGTAATATGATGAGCCAGAGGTTAGCGAGGGGGACACAGTTGTTTCATTTGAAAATATTTAATTTAGCTATTTTAATAAGTAGGAATTTCCTACAGCAAAATTTTCAGGAAATGATATTTTTATTTTTGGGACAACGTTGCCCGCACTTCTCTCCTCCAGTCTGAGCAGCATCTTCATAGATGAATGATCAGTTCGGATGGGGCTTTAACAATAATGGGCACATGTAAAAGACACATCCTTAAATTAGAACTTAAGCCAGTCCACCTCTTTACTCCCTTTGTTGGCTGATGATTCATGTTCATTTCATTATCTCAGTTTTAGTGCACTCGCCGTCAGGAACTTTGTTTAAACTGAGCTCTGAGAAAGATCTGCCAGCGAAGTTGATTTCCTGACTCTGATGCTGAAACATCTGATGACACAGACAAAAATTCTCCGGAATATTCTCAGCCTAACAACACTAGGAAAGGATATTCTGTTGATATATTGCATTGGCCAAAAAGTTTGTTTGGGTTTTCTGTATCATCTTATGGAAAAACCCGAACAAACTTTTTGGCCAAGCCAATATTGTCTCCGAGAGCAGGGCTTAGGTCTCGAATTTCAGGACTTACTGCTTGATTCTGTGAGAAGACATTCTGCAAGAATTTGTTACCCTCTACAGCATCTCCACTCCTCAAGCCAGTGGTTTCTCTCTGTGGCACCACCATTCTTCCAGAGACACACTATGGGACCCCTCTTTCACTCTTCCCTATCTGCTATTCCATTTAGTTTGTGTATTAGTTTATTCATCATACATTTGTTGAGAAGTTGTTACGCTCTCTAATACTGTTTCGGGCTAAGAGAAAAACTTAGAAATTAAGAAAACATTTTCGAGGACAGAATAGAGCAAAGACTTTGATCACAATGAATCAGAACAACTGCAAATGTTTCAAGTTCATCCTCATGCCCAGCGAAAGTTCATTTAGCTTTGGTTCTGACCATTAGTACTTGATTTTTGGCTTCCTACACAGAACGTTAACCCTTTATATATTGAAATAGTCCTTTTGTATGATTAACTACTTCAGGTGCAGCTAATTCTCAATCTTTTACATGTATCAAAGAAATCAACACTTAAAAGTTTTCTCTTACAGATCAAGTGGCAGAACATATTTCATACATCCTTCTGGTTTTACAAACCGCAATGTTAAGAAATAGAAAAACTTGAGTTCTTCTGCACTGAAATAAATAACACTGTTTAGTGCATTCTTCATGACCAGTGCTTCCTTAGCAGAATATTGTAAAACAACTCAGAAGAACTCTTTGCAAACTGGGCTGCACAATACCATCTTAAAACATTAATTTTATTTTACAGATTAGTACATGACACTGTCAATTGCTCAGATTTCTATGGGTGCACAAGACTAATGCCAATAGTAGATTTAGACCTTAGAAATATATTTATTAGAGGAGAAATATTCATGAAACATTGATAAACTTTGATATTTCAGTTTTGAGAGTTATATTAATTTCTTATTCCAAACCATTATAGACTAGTAACTTAATTCAAGGGAATATTCTACATTATTTGTTGATATATATGAATTTATAAACCATGGGATGTCAGTCACAAGAATTTAAGCATTCTTACAGGTTACTATATTTTATTTGCAGGATCACTGAAATGTTAATATACTTATTAAGCACAGTGAAACATATACTTTTATTCCTTGAGTCACTATTTCTTTGGGACTATAGCTATAAGTTTATATTTATTTTCAAATAGATTTTTTAACAACTTTATTGGAGTATAATTGCTTTACAATGGTGTGTTAGTTTCTGCTTTATAAAAAAGTGAATCAGTTATACATATACATATGTCCCCATATCTCTTCCCTCTTGTGTCTCCCTCCCTCCCACCCTCCCTATCCCAGCCCTCTAGGTGGTCACAAAGCACAAAGCTG